AAGAATGTGGCAATGACAGGGAAATCTCTCTCCTTTCGATTGCTGGAAAGATCATGGCGCGTGTGATCCTCAACCGTTTAGAGAAGTACAGAAGTACCCGGATACCACCTGAGACACGGCGTGGTTTTTGGAGAAATCGAAGTACTATTGATATGGTCTTCTGCCTCCACCAAATTCAAGAAAAATGTACGGAACAGAACATGGAGCTCTACGCTGTATTTATTGACTTTACCAAAGCCTTTGATACAGTCTCAAGGGAAGCACTATGGAGTGTGCTGAAGATGTTTGGCTGCACCGACAAGGTTTAAACCTGGTGAGGGAGCTTCATGATGGTACGCAGGCAAAAGCAGGCAAAAGTAGTTCAAGGGAAAGATATTTCATCACAATTTGCCGTGACGAATGGTGTGAAGCAAGGCTGCGTTCTTGCTCAACATTATTCTCGCTCTACCTGACAGCTATGCTGCATGTGGCTTTTAAAGACATTTACAAAGGGATTTACATCCAGACAAAACACACTGCAGATGTCTTCAATGTCTCCACTTCAAGGCAAATTCACGAACAAAAAACACCTCGTCAGAGAGATGCTGTTTGCGGACGACAGTGCTCTGGTGGCTCACACTGCATCGGAAATACAGTTGCTTGTTGACAGGTTCGCAAAGGCTGCTACCTAGTTCAATGAGCAATGAACTCATATCTATAGTTTTACTACAATAACATCATTCCCTTCTTGATTATCTTGCCTACGATGAAGTCGTTTTCAGATTACAATACTTTTGAATAAACAACTGGAGAATTTGTTTTGAACATTTTTGAAGTCTATCTACATGACATTTGGCCATGTTTAACCAGGGTGTCACTGTCTTTCCAATTTTTGGTTTATAAAGAAAGAATCAGAGACATAGAAACCAAGTGGGTTTGGAGAGGGAAAAGAACCATCTTATTTCTCCAAATTATCAAATCTTAATAATCTCTGACTATTTGACAAATGTTGTGAGTGGAGTTTTTAATAGTGCAAGAGGTATAAAGTCGGAAAATATCATCACATGTTATTATTATGGTAATAGATGGAAAATGCATGTAAAAGCTGAAGCAAGTTGCATTAGCGTAGATTTTTTCACTATATATGTGATGATTTATGAACAAAGTATTTCTATGATTATAAATTCCTCAAATATGAATTTAACTGTCTCATTTGTTCAATTGACAACAGGTTTTACTGAATAAAAATTTACAGGTGTACTAGAAAATTGTTTGTTGGAACTTGTCTTTACTCTAACGATGACTACCGCAACAGTTGTCGAAACGTCAGTCAAAAACAAAAAACAGTCCTTCTAAGGACTCTACTAACCTAGACGATATACATCTACAAACATTTACTGCTTGATATATTTGCTTCGAATTTTGTATATAATAATTTCTTTCTAATTTCTACTGATGGTAAAAAAATAAGTCAAACTCTTAGGAGTGTGATGCAAATTGTAAAGATTGCTATGAATAGACATGGAATCAACCTGCTTTTATTAATTAGCACGTTTTTCTCTCATGTATTTTAGCATTAGACCCTAGCAACTTAATTTTTTAACACAAGTCTTGTTTGTTAAGAGGAGGAACTTGTGAAACTAATATGCTGCAGAAATCAATTTTAAACAACAATTTCTAAATTATGTTTACAGCTGGAAAAGGCTTAATGCCTTTCACATTCATCAAAATACGGTCAATAGAACTGACACCTCCTTATAACTGCTTTGCGCAGTGGGACAAATACAATTCATGCCGTTTACATGAAACGTTTCACCAGTCATGGATGGTATGCATATCTTGGGAAACCATGAGGAATATGATTCATACTGAGCACACTCTCGCATCTTGTGCGCTCAATGGAATTCTGCAACTATACATTTATGGAATTTTACATGGAAGTCTATGTCAATATGGCGTATGGTAAGCAGATTTATGTTTCTAAAATTAATACGGCCAATGAAATTTTAGCTATGATTTCTGGCAGTAAAATCCTATGTGCACTCTCTCAAATGTTTTTCATTAGACAAATGAATCTGTGTTCTTAAGGTGCCATGCTAATACAAACAAATGTTTGTGGCTTTTTAGTTTACATGATCATTGATCAATCAATCGTTGGATAATGAATACTGGTCATTATACAAAGTAAATATTTTTAGGTTCGAAAACAGTAATAGAATTACGTTGATTACATGAGAAGCTGTTCATTTCAACCAATGATTATGAGTCTTCATGATACCTTTATAACCTGAGCTATATCTTATCTATGAAGTGTATCATGTCATGTCAAATATTCACACCAGAGACGCTGGGGGAAGGGAAAACATTCATATTTGTGAGTTTTTCCTTAATACCTTCTTTAAAATCAATTGTTATTTACAGGCTGTGACTACAAAAATGTTTGCCACAGTTACTAAAAACGATGTGAAAGCTTTTAAAGGAAATGAATGCGGAAAACACTAAAAAGCGGTCAAGCTGGCTTTGAACACATTTACCAACTTGAATAAACTGTTTGACAAAAACAAATTAGCAAAGGTTTGAAAAATGGTTTATATTGATATGTTTTGATAATACCTAGCTTTGCTTCGGCCGATAACAATGACATCGGTGTGAATAATTCTTGATATCATGCTCAACGTCATCCAATAATTGCTTATTATTATCAATATGAATAACCGAAATTTTTATGTTTCTCTAACTGAGTTTAATGTGAGCAGGCTGTTAAAATTATAGCAGCAGTTTTTCTCTGACACAAAAAATTGTGAAGAAAATGCACTTGTCAATTTACAATACTAAACTTTAATTACAGGATCAAATATGTATCTTAAACATTTCAAGAGACAATGTTGTCTATCAAGTCCATTTAAACGAGAAAAAGAGTCAAATTCCCGTACGGTTAAAGAAAAAAGTAATTTAAACTTAACCAACAGATGCAATTAAACTTTCACTGCTTTGTCCACTTATCTGTGTCCACCAAAAATCACTATATGTATAATAAGATGTAGCTATTATTTTTCACTATGTGAGAATTTTTGGCTGTGATTCGGCTGCCTGCAAATAATTCTTGATATCTGAAATTATGACGTCATATCTACAGATTTAGTTCCTACAAATATGGACGCCATTAAAAGCCGGTTTTGAAAAAAAATAACGATGTTTACCACTTTTTCTAAGAACGATAAGCAAAAGCTTTTAAACGAAAAGGATGGGGAAAACAGCAAAAAAGCGTCGAAGATGGCCTTGAACACATTTACAACATAGTCAAACAAAACGACTTGAATAAACCGTCTGACAATAATAAATTAGCGAAGGTTTTAAAAATGTTTTATATTGATATGTTTTAATAACATTTCATTGAATAAAAAACAACTATTCAATTCGATTTTCACATGACATCAAGAATTATTTAGACTTTGGTTTGAATAATTCTAGATATCAAGCTCAACCTCATTCAATAATTGCTTATTATTATACAATTTTGATGCAGCCATTGTGAACGGCTATGAGCCTACACAAAATTTTTAATATTTTGCCGCATAAAGAATATTGAAAAATGTTTGTATGTGACGTAACTAGAATTGTAAAATGAAAAATTTAAGTGCAATATTTTGCTTAAAATTTGAAAGCGTTTTACGAACTGTTACCGCTCGAATTGTCGAGAATATAGAAAAAAAAACACGAAAAGTGTTAGCTGCAGAATAACTTTGACATATGAATATTTTTTAATCTTATGCTTTACATCATTAAAGAAGTGCTTAATATGGGTATCTTGATGAGTTTTCTGCATTTCAGTCTGTTATTTCGCTGCACTGCAATAATAGAGATATTATTTGGTCGGCACTTTACCAGGTGGCCATATTGCTTTGTTTTATAAAATGCCCTAGTCTGTTTGCAAGAGACGTTACTTCCTTCCCGTTGATTAGATTTACCATGTGGCTGTGATAATGCCACACTGTATGCACAAAACTCGTAATTACAAAAACAAAGAGCTTCGTATTTTGTGATTAAATATCATCGTACCATCACGTATCACGTACCATCAGCTGGGTGATCATAAAGGTCTGATGACATGTGTAGAGACTGTCGATTTCATTGCTGAATTTATGGAATGGTCAGGAAAAGTGCGTAGATGAAGACCAAGCAAGAGATATATGTATACACTATATAAATGGACATGCAAATTATAGATTTGTAACAAGAGGAAACAGTAGAGAGGCAACTACTGAGAGGTTATTCTGAATGAATAGGTGAAAGTAAATCTTTTTGTCTTTTCTTCAATGTCAGTCTGTCTTTCAATAGTAGCCCAACATTTTCAAGAACAGCCTCATGGTCTGAGGGCTTAAATTTTGAATGTTGCATGATGCACGATTTTTTCTCGATGCTGTCATCGAAAGTCATTTTCTGTGCCGATTGCAAATATTTAATCGCTGTACGAAGACACTTCTCGCATTGCATCATTTTATTGTACTCATTATTTAAAGTGTCAAATATGTCACGTGTTTTTGACCTTATGTTAATATACACCGTAATAATAAGTAATGCCTGTAAATCTTAATTTACTCTTTCATTTATCAAAGTTTTGGCAATTAATAAAAAAACACTAACTACTTAGAGGACATACATCAATGTTGGAAGTCAAAGAGAAAAAATGTGATGTTTTACAAAGTGTTTCATTAAATTGTTTCCAATTAAATAATTTCATATGCTCGAGGTCTTTGTGAGGGTGGAGGGTGGAGGTGTATGAGGGAGTGTACTTGCGTCTGCTCACTTATATAAAATAAAAGTTATCATGGCTCATAAATCAAATATAAACGTTCAATTAGCAAACATTTTCAATAAATAGTTGAGAATGCTGAGGTACGTGGCTTAGATTGAGTAAGACAGCAAGGGCAAGATATTACTTCTAGTTCAAACTTAATAAACTTTTATAAATAGAAAAAATTATTAACACCAATATAAAAAAACTTAAAAAAGCTCTTTTTTTATTCTACAAAGAAAAAAACACAAATTTTGTTCATCATAGGAGAACGAAATTCAATACAGTTACATAAAGTTAAAAATACGCTGATCTGTATAAAGCGTACATGGGCGTGCTCCAAAAATCACAATATTTTTCGCGAAGTTTTGTTTTAACCACCATCTTATTTAAACTTTCCATCTTCAAATATTCTTCTCCGTTTGGGGTATGAAGAGGCCAGTTTGGAAGGTTAACATTTTCAAAATCTTTTGGTAGTTTAGGTTTACCTTTGTTTGGATTACTGTAATGGAAAGCGTAATGAAGTTTTATCTATGCAAAAGGAGCATCATTTTTACTTTAAAAAATTACTTCCATGTAATATATGGTTCGCATTAATAATCTTTTGCAGGCAACCTAATTCCTTTTATTATATGAGTGTTGACTTTATGCGCAATAAAGTTTTGAAATAAAAACAGTTGGGCGTAAAATGTTTTTACTGGTGAACAGTTCCATATTTAATTACACTGCCAAAGCAATCTTTTCTATGACAATAATACTGATTTCACCATTTTCTACGACACTATTCATTATCGAATATATGAAATAGGAACATAAATTAAAAAAGCACTGCAGGACATTCAACTTCAAAAACTTTAATGTGGTAAAATGAATCCTAATGTATTAAGCATATTTTCATTGGGCAAATTAGGAAATACGGAGAATGCCGACCTAGTCCCTTTGTAAGACAAGATTTGCCTTTTATATTAAAAATGAAGAAACAATGGAAAACTAAATTTGTCATTATAATTAATTTACTTGCATTATATATGCAAATTAAAAATTTGATTTATGTCTATAACTTTAGCGATAAATTTTACCTTAATAAATACCTCACTACTTGTACAGTAAAAGGATTAAACCATGGTTGGTTAATTTGTATGATGTATACTTTGCACTCGTTGGGAAAGACATTAACGTGCACAAAAATCATTTGAATTCATCAATAATGAAGTAGCCATGCAATCTACTTCATAATCTTTGCTATTTATATAAAAATTTCTTGTTTCTGTAAACTTACCCTGTCCTTGCAAAATTGACGAGGTATGATATAAATCTCAGTGACAATATCTTATCTTCTTTTGGAAAGTTGAATTTAAAAGGTAGCCCAAATAATGACTAAAAACATTAAAAAATTGGGAGCATTATTGTCAATTAAAAATACACATACAGCATTGTGGAAATCGATCATTCCCCAACACATTTTTAGGGATCTTTTTGTCACAAAATTTATTTAATCAAAACTTGAGTCATTATAAATTTTTTTTGCTGATTGCTAATAACATTGTAGGGACAACAAATACATTGATGTTTGAGAAATACACAAATATATGATGTTTGGGACGATTTGCAATAGGCAATTTTCTTAATGCTATAAACTTCACACTTTTCAACTTGGTAGTCGACAACGTCTTAATATTCGGACTCAGTTCATCAATGATCCAGATCATTCTTAGTTTATTTATGCTCTTAGAAATTGGTATGACCAAATAGTTATTTTAATAGCTAAACTTTAACCATTCTAGTTGCTTATTTTTGTCCAACACAAAATAAAACTAATGATTTTATGCTGTTGACAACGTAAATGTGCTTCATATAAGCCTCACTTCCATCAAAATAAAAAACAACTTAGTGTTTTGATTATTAACTCACCCATACGTCCTCGCCATGGTTTGCAAAACCATAAGTTCCAACTGAAATTGCATGTGGTACTGGGGAAGAGTATGCAAGCCGGTAAACAAAAACTTTAGTTGTTGGAAACATTAAGACCCGTTGATGTGCTTCATCCTTTATTGGACAAGTAAAGGCCCAGTCCGATAATAAATCGACTAAAGGTTTTAGTGATTCGACAAACGATGGTGTGCATGTTGGCAAATATAGTTTTTTGGCTACGTCAAAATAATGAGGGTGTCTTTTAAATGCATCCTGAAGACTACTTTTATAGATTTTATTTATTTTCGTTATGTTCCTCGTTTTTGTCAGAATAAAATTTGTTTGAAAGAACATTTCACTTTCCATTGTACCAAAAATCATTGGACATTGCTTCACTTTTCCCTGTTTGAAAAGCATTCGAGGATGATCTTTGAAAAAATCACCGTCAACTGACGGTGTGAAATGATCGAGTTTTTTGGCGAAGATCCGTTTCAATTGTTCAGAAGTAACATTTTCCTTTAAGCACTTAAGTACATTGGATGAGCCATTGCAATTGACCTCTTTAAGAAAAGTGTCTGATACTGTTTTTTCCCTTTCCTAAATGAAAAGAAAAACTCTTAGATCTAAAAAGTGTTCATCTTTCACTTACGTGATAAATTGATTTTTTTATTTTGTGATGTAAAGTCCATAGATTTTTTTTATTTCATGCCGTTTCCCAAATCGCAAGCTCTCCGATGAAAGGAAATGAAATAATTATGTGAATCAGTTCAGTGGCTGACGTTAAGTATATTGTTCAATTGTTAGCAGCTTCCAAACTTGCGGTTACTTTTCTATTCTAAATCGATTTCAAAGACGATAAAAATGGAATAGTGAAACACGCTGATAGTTTATTCTTTACAAAATGAAACTTTTTTTGCTATCCTCATCAAAATATTTCACATTGTGGCACATCTGTTTAAGACTTTTTTTAGAGGAACAAAAGGTTTTCTTCACTTTTAACATAAGCACGTAAATTGAACACTATAATCTTTACATTGAAAATGGAAAATTTTTAACGTTTAAATTGTCATTGTTAAAAGGACAACGGTATTGTAATAAAGAAAAATATACACAACAATTTTACTTTCATCTGTCTTTACAAACCTCAGTGGATAATGTCCAATACATGAGCATGTTTCCACTTGACAGTATGACACGATCAAAATACGGCCAACTGCCTTCAGATAAAGTATGAGCAGAAACACAAGCTGAGCCAGCACTGCCTCCAAATATTGTTATTGTGTTAGGATTGCCACCAAATTCTTTTATGTTTTCTTTTACCCATTTCAACGCCAACCGCTGATCAAACAAAGCAAGATTACCTTAGGAATGAAAAACGACAAATGTGATTTAAGTTACTGGTTACTCATTGACAACATTGAAGAAATGAATTCTCATTTTTTATGTTGATTAACTCTCTTTGTAGCACTGTACTCAGAGGCGTAACTAAAAGGTTAATTGGGGGGTGTACATTCATATATCCAGTTGTGCCCCACTGATGTCTTTTGAAATTCAATTCACTTTCAAAAGAAATCCGTAGGGCAGAACGGTATGTATGAATATATGATGTGTACGTGCACAAAAATCCACTACAGATGCGTCTGTAAGCTGAATTAAAATAACTCTTTCTGTGGCAATGTGGCATATATGCAACAACCACAAAAGAAAATGACCAGCAGCTTCGCAACCTAAAGGGTCAATTAATTTAGCAACACAAACCTTACGAAAATTTCACATTGGATTTCATATATAAAATGATATGTGAAACTTATGTGAAATTGAAACACTTGTGAAATTACTGTGTAACATTGAAATTGAAATCAAATGTAAAATTTTCATAGGGGAAGGGGTTAAATAATTTCATGTATCTATAAGTTACATTTTAAGTTATTGAAAAAAAGTTTGTTGTTTTCATTCTACACGATTTTATAATTAACTTTTAGAGAAAAATTGTAAGATTAAAGATTAAAAATCTTCATTTTAAATATTTTTACAATTTGAAATTAAGATATTACGAGATCGATACCAGATATTTGTGTTTTATGGAAGTGGCACCTTTTGTCCTTAATGATGTGTGTTAACTCTTTAAAAAGAATATGATGTGCTTGACATTAATATAAAGGATAGTCAGTGAAATTGTGTTATTGTAAGGGTCTTAATATTCAATTGATACAGATATGTCTTATCCCTGCCTATGTATTTAATATATTAATTATGATAAATGTGTTTTGTTTCTTACATTTTTATTCTTTTTATTATAAAATTCTAGCTAGTGATGGTCAATCAATTGCAGTTAAAATTATAGCCAAATATAATGCGTGTGATCTCCTATTCTAGGATTTTGCTAGGCATAGTTTGTCTTATCCTTATAGAAATTCACTTGTTTACTTTTAATAATGTTTTCGCTTGTTTACCTTTAATTCCAGCTTCTGGGGCTCTCAAAAATCCAAGTGCAGACAAGCGGTAGTTCATAGTCACTAATATAACATTTCCCAATGCAACAAAGTTTGCACCATGATAATTTACTTCGTGCGATGAACCAGCTATGAATGCACCACCGTGGATAAAGACCTGTTTAGATTGATTGTGAAACAAATGCAATTAACTTTATCGCATTTAAAATTTAAGGGATCAAGATTTTCAATGGTTTAAAATATTTTTGATGTCGCATGGAATATTTTCAGATCTTAAAAAAATTATTCACTTTCTCCATAGCTTACTATAACTGTTGCTTTTTTTGGTTTTGGATATGGTGTCCAAACATTAACTACCAAACAATCTTCTGTCATATTTATTTTTGGCAAGTGCACGGGTTGGATACATGAAATATTTTCTTGCGAATCTTTGATTCCTGTAAAGAAAAAATTAAATAAAAGGAAAAAAGTCCACTGACTTTAAGAAATGTAATACGTAATGTTGTGCGTAGATAAAGAAAGTGAAATTACAAGTTTATTACCTTTCCATGATTTTTTTGGGACTGGTTTCTCAAATCGTAGCTCACCAACTGGAGCTTCAGCGTATGGTATGTTTAGATATTTCAGAACTATCTTTCCATTCACAGTGGCTTTTTCTGTTGTTCCTCGAATTTTGCCAGCTTTTGTCGTAACAACTATAGTAAAAGATTTATATGTTATTGAGGGCTGCATGTAATTTTCGGATAAAATGTTTTCCCGAGGTCTCGAATAGAGCTGAGGTTGAAGGCCGTGAGTTGTTTTTAAAACGAACTGTTTTTTATTTGGCTATATTTGTTTTGTTTTGTTTTGCTTTGTTTTGTTTTAAAATGAGACTTCTTAAACTTGGGCAGGAATATTAAATCCCAAACTAACATAGCACTTTCAAACAGCCACACTAGATTTGTTTCTTCTTACGGTTGGCAGCTAACAAGCACTCTCTAATGCATGCAATGCATTTTCACCTTTTTAGTTTGCCAAGTACAAATACTAGCTGGATCTTTGGCCCGTTTCAGAAATATTTTAAATTATCATGGACGTAGGAAAATCGATAATTCTGAGCTAATATTCATGTATGCATATTACACTCCGTAATTGGATTTTAAAGAAATCTTATTGAATATATCTTGTTTGATTTTTTGTGAATATAATTCTTCAATTAATGAATATATGTTTACCATTCTTCTTATCATGTTTGAGCTTTACATTAAGCGTTTTGCTTCTGGCTTTAATCAAAAAGCGTTGAAAAAGACGGTCGCTTTTAAAATCTACAATAAAGAAATATAAATTTGTCCATGCATTTTAATTTGATGTCTTAATTTATATGGAATGGTATAGGTAAATTATTAAAGTATCTTGTTACCTTTGATGTGTTCCATTCTACAGGAAACTACGCTGACATGAATGATACACAGAAGAAGGAAGGTGAGTATTCGATTCTATTTTAAAAATAAATCACAAATAATTAATTGTGGGAATCTGGAAAATTTCCAAAATTTCTGGTCTTATTCATGCAGTAGCCAAGTGAAAGAGCAGATCCAACACAATTCTATGCACAAAAAGGTTTAACCTTTTTATTGAGATGTTACCAAAATTATGTAACAATCTTAAATAAATAAACGTTGTGAACTTGCGCATTCTTTATACTATCATGCGTATTGCGTACATTCATCATGAAAAAAGAAGAAGATCTTTTTCGAAAGAGAGATTAACCGCTGATCCTTTTTTCATGGTCAATCCCACGTTTAAACTATAGGGAAATCAATTTTCAATGAATGAGGAAATAAATACAACTTACCATTTTTGTTGAAAGTTTTTTATTGTCTTGGATCTGTTTAAGAAAATAATTGATAAAAAAATTTGAATTTGTTGTGTTTGAAGTTTAATAAACGTTTATAATGAAATAATCAAAACATAATTTACGCGCTCAGCATCAGACGAAATTGAGAAATTTAAATTACACCTACGCTTTTAAACAGCCTTTCACCAAACAATTTAATCTCACCAAATTCGTTGAGTCCCTATATAGTTAAGACATGTTTGGTAATCATAGTTTAAAGAGTAAAATATGCATAAATTTCAATATAACAGCTAAGTGGCGTATGTTAAAGAAGTTCTACTACATATAATTCTTGGATTGTATGAGTCAATTATCGTGTACTTAATTCTATTTTTCAATACATTCAAAATTGTTCATTGTGAAAACAGTGGGTTTTTGAGAATGAAACCATCCTAGTTAATGACTATAGCAATGGCTTACTATAGACCATTATTAATGTCAGACAAAAAACTGAAAATGAAATGGCGATACTCAAAGAAAAAATAATTTCTATAATGGTTGCTCTTTTATTGTACTCCATAAAGGAACAATCGTACATTTATAATTTTGGTAACTCTATATCCGCTTCTTTCATACTAACATTTTCTATTACGTATAATCATTATTAAAGATTATTCTTTTCATTTGAAGGGCAATTCAATGGTTGCAAAAGTTGTCCAGTTTCGAGCCAACTATATGCATGCAATAATCACGTACAGGAAGCTAATTTGCTTTTACCCAACCACACAATCAAGCGTTAATAAGAAATTACGCGTTACCAATTTAATTAAGCAATTGGCTAATATACAAACATATTACTGAGGTAAAATACAGATTGGTATTACACAAATTAATTAAAATAACATCAAAATATCTGATTTTATTATAAAGATAACAGTGTGTATTTTTTATTAAAAAAATATAACTGGAAGGCTACCTTTGCCCGGAAATTTGAAAAAATTTTCTGTTTGAAAACTCCACTCTTAACTTTACAATGCAGAAACCGAAAGTTTGGTTGCTTGCGCACATATAACACCTTTGGTGAGGACAAATAAAAAACGTATTTTTGATATCAATAATTCGCGCCATTAAGGTTTTCATCTATTGACGGACCAAGCTGGTATTAAGAATGTGTTAAAACTGGGTTTTGGTCATATTGGATTTTTGATGTTATTCGATACAATGTACTAAATTGAGGCAATGATTGGTGAAACATTTTCTAAAGGCAGTATTTTAATTTGCTCAATGACAATAAACATAATGCACGCATCTTAGCCAATTTATATTTTAATAGCTTTATGCAAATAAAAAATATAGAGATCGAGAAAAGAAAATTACGACAAAAATTAGCATCTATTACCATAACACTTAAACCACACTCAAGATGAAGTTTACGTTCCTCAAATGACGCACAACAACATAAATTTTAGCTTCTTATTTTCTTTACAAACGTTACAATAGAACAACTAGAACATGACCATGAAAAATAAACACTCTACATTGGTTTTACGTTTATGATATTACAATATTATATTGCTTGTAACAATATATGGAATTGTTGGACATGTCTTTGAGTCACTCGGCCCTGTCTGTGTACAAATTCACGTTAATGGAATGAAATTGGAGTATCGAGCACTGTTGTTCACCAGCAAAAGATCCATCGTCATCAACTAAACTATTACAATTGGCTAACAGTGAGAAGCAGAATAGTTTTATTGAGAAGATTTCATAGCAACTTAAAAAAATGTTTTCTTACTTGCAATATGCGTTGCTTATCATATAATGTTTAGTATCTAATACAGTAAAAATTATTAAAAGTAGAAATTTTAATAAGAAATTATCCAGCAATTATGTGCATCTTATTGAATCGACAAATAAATCTTACTGCGACAAAAAAACCAAAGAATTATTTCTTAGCACTGCTGACAGCGCGAAACTATTTCTGTTAATGTAATTGCCAATGCTTTTTAACATTGTTTGTTAGGTTTCTCAAAAGTTATGCAATTGAATAAATATAATCAGCAATTTGGGCAGGCCAGGCTTGGTGCTTTCAATTTTGAAAAATTAGTGATATAACGTTGGTTTAGTCACTGAAGAGAATACGTTAAAAGTCTAAAATACTACAGTTAATCCTATATAATAGAGAAACAACCTAAATAGAAAAATTTTGACTCTAAGCTATTTTTAGTAACTTCTAACCAACTTGAAAATGGCTGGACAAATTATTTAGTGGTAAGCTCCACTTAAATTGATGTTGCCAAGCACTTTTAAACACTGCGATATCATACAAATATGCCGATAAGATTTTTCGACAATAAGGTGCAGGTTTTATTAAGCTTAACACTCCGGTTCTTTGTTTTACGAGATAATCTATTTTTGACAAGTTGTCTACAAATATTATTCATGTTATTCGCTTTTTGTACATTGTCTTTTTAGCCTGGGTAGTTGTACAGTGTTCATCTCAACCTTTTTGGCCCAGTTTATTATGACATTGCTATTACTTTCTGATATTTTTTCTTCAAATATTAATCTACGATTGCATTACAAATTTAACATATCAAAGAAAGACTGAATAGAACTTTAAACAGTTAAGAGTTAATAGCTACAATGATTGTTTGTAACTAAGAAGCTTTTTGTGTTTTATTTGATAATGATAATTACTGCATGATTGGTTCGTTTGTACGATTTTATTATATGCTTGTTGAAAAGGATTGCAAACAAACTCGTTCGCCAAACGAGTATTGAAATTTAGATTATAGTGAAATTTTCGCCGAAGAGATAGCACAATTTCAAACGCTTCAAAACACTCACATAATTTGCATAAAAAAATACAAACACAAATAAATTGTTCTTTGACAAAAACTGCTTTTTCAAACTGTTTCTTTCCTAACATTATGAAAGGCAATTTATCTCTTACGAAAGAACTAGGTTCGTATCTTACGTTGTCTTTTTCTTTCGGACGGAAACGTAATAAACTCGCTTTGGTATTCAAGTTGCTTGACGGGAATATTGTCCATGCTCCGAAAGTCTTGTTTCGACAATGAAAATTAGTGAAGAAATCAAATGTCCTGCTCCTATTATTTTCCTTACATTTATAACGAAATCGCTTAGGGATTGTGCCTCATTAAATAGCCAAGCCATTGATAAATGAGACGAAAAAGATTGTTTTTGTTCTCTTTAATATTCAAACTGTTCACCATTTGTGATAAAACTTGATATGGGATTTTGTCAATAGTGGAAAAAATGGCATATCCAATCAGAATGCAGGTACGACTTTTTTTCACTGGTGAAGTAAATGATGTCCAATCAGTTTCTCAGCAATTTTAGGCACCTGATTTTTATTTTACCGTTTTGTTGCGCATAAAGTTCAATACTCGTATAATAAATAAAATATATGCGTTGCGTTAGTGGTTGATAACATCCTATTTTTATTACTACTTTAAAGTCATTTAAAATTTTTGGATGCAAATGCATTCGCCTCATTCATGACCTAGTTTCGTCTCATACTCAGATTTGAAATTTACATTTGAA